ATCTCCGAATACTTGAAAAATCTGTCGCTGCTCAACCCACAACCACCTCACCAACCAACAACATCTACGACAATTTCAGCTGGTTTTCCGTCCCCTCCACAGCACCGAAACAGCTCTCTAAAAATCACTAACGATCTCCTCATAGCCTCTGACTCCGGTTTACTCTCCATCCTCATCCCTTCTGGACCACACTGCAGCAGGGTGGGTTTGGGGTTGACACCATTCTCATCCACCCACCTGAACAGACTCTCCTCCATCGGCATCACCCACACCCCCCTCCCGCGGTTCACTCCTATCTTTCTGTCGCTCACAGTTCATCTCATCCCTAATCCCACAAATCCCCGCACTTTTCCTGTCTCTGCTGGTGTCCCCAGGGCTCTGTCCTGGGGCCCCTCCTCTTCATCATTCTATATTCTCCCACACGGTCCACATCTCCGCCGTCACAACCTTCCACTTCCAACTGCTACGCGGATGACACGCCAACTCATGACTTGAGGGGAGGGGGGACAGATTTGTTATGGATGGAGATGAGAAGCTGTAGATTTGGAGAGAGTGGAGGGGGCCTATGAGAAGGTAACTTCAATAGTTGATTTAGCTATTGAGTTTGAGAAAGTTGAAGATAAACACAGAATGAATTTCTGTAGACATAGGGTGAGGGTAGGATGGAGGATAAGAGGAAGAATGTGTTTAGCGTGAGAGGTAGAGCTGGGTGTCATCCGCGGTAGCCTGGAAGTGAATGTTTGTTACGGCCTGAGGATTTGACCGAGTGGGAGAATATAGATGATGAAGAGGAGGGGCCCCAGTGACAGACCCAGGGGGACACCAGCAGAGAACAGGAAAAAGGCGGGATTTGTGGGGATTTGGAGATGACTTAACTGTGACGACCCAGAAAGATTAGAATGTTGAACCAGGCGAGGGGGTGTGGGGTGATGCCGTATGGAGGAGAGTCTGTTTCAGGAGGGTGGAGTGAGAAATGGTGTCAAAAGCTGCCAGTGAGGTCCAGAAGGATGAGGAGAGAGCCGTAAACCGGAAGTCAGAGGCTATGAGAGATCGTTAGTGATTTTTAGAAGAAGCTGTTTTCGGTGCTGTGGAGGGACGGAAAACCAGTACTGAAATTGTTCGTAGATGTATTTGGTGGTGAGGAGTTTGTGGAGTTGAGCAGCGACAGATTTCAAGTTTTTTGGAAGATGAAGGAAGGTTTGAGATGGGACGGAGGTGTTGAAGTTGGTTGGACCAGGCCAGGTTATTTGAGAAAAGGGTGAGACCTGAGGCGGTTTTGATGAAGAGGACAGTAACCAGAAGTGAGAGATGAGGTGAATGATATTAGTGGAATGAGGGGGAGCAGCTGAGGGGAGGCAGGATATTGACCAGAACGTAGGGAGAGGGACCGAGCTGAAGGTAGAAGGTTTGGATTTAATATAATGTCGGAGATGGCTTGGACGGCGGGCAAGAAGAAGCTGGGAATGTGGCTATGAGGGGATGGTAGGGGCTGGGGGGGTTCCACTCCATAGACTGCAGCTCCATGTGGGGTCAGTGTTGGTTGAATGTCAGAGATCTTGGAGGTAAAGAAGGACATGAGTGAGTTTACAGAAGTCAGTGGATTGCATATGTGAGGAGTGAGTCAGGGGTTTTGGTTATATTGGGGTGTAGAAGAGAGAAGAGAGTTTTGGAGTTTTGATGATGGAGTGGATTAAACCGAGTAGAAGGAGGAATTTGGCAGCAGATGATATGGTCCTTGTATAGCAACGATGTGGTTATTGTACTTTTTTTGTAATGTGAGTCCAGTTTTATTAATAAGCCGATGCAAGTTGTACGTCCTATGGGATTTGAGTCTGACGAGGGTCATGTGGTGAACCCATGGTGCTGAGAGCGTGAAAGAGACGGGTCGGGTTTTTTGAGGAGGAGCATGATGTTCAGAAGGTTATGGAGAGAAGTGTTGTATAGGTAGACCTAGGTCATCGGGGGAAGTCATTGGGAATCATTAGTGGGGATGTTCTTGATATTCTGATGCGAAGGTGGCAGTGTTTAAGTCCAGAATTTTACGGAAAGAAATGTTCGTACTGAAGGAGGGTCTTGGAGATGGTGAGGTTGAATATATGAATGTGATTAGCTAAGGTCTGTGTAAGTGATGTTGTGAGGGTTTACATTCAGTGGGAGTGAGACGCATAGCAGCAGTAAAGTCCACAATGTTACCTTAAGTGTTGGTGATGGTAAATGAATGTTTTGTGTAAACAAAACTACTACTAAACAGGAAGGAGAAGTCTTTAGGTGTAGAGGGTTGCAATTGATTGTCCCATGTGAATGTGAAGTCCCCAATTAAGACTGAGCGTTATTAGAGTTATGATGAGAAGTGTGTTATAAGGAGAGAAAAGACATCTAAAAAGTCCTTAAAATTTTTGGCGGGCCCGGTAGATGGTGGCAAGAACAACCGTAGGATAAGGTCCAGGCAGCAGTTGAGGCAAGAGTACCGAATGGGAGGAGAAGACAGGGGCAGCAGGCACATTAGAGAACTTTCCAATTCTCCGCGTGAGCATCGCGAGACCTCCGCCCCGGCGGCCACCGCATGCGGGCTTGGCAGATGTAAACAAACCCCGTGGAGGTGGAGATCGTTTCAATCCGGCAATAGTCATTTGCCCAGCTGCAGGTTTCTGTCAACACACAAGAAGTCCAGCATACCGGTCGACTAGGACAATCCCGGAACCAGATGGCCCTTGGTGTTGAGGGAGCGCAATGACGATAGAGAGACCGAAGCTGACGGTGGTGAGCTGTTCTTGGGTGGGAGAGTCTGTCCATAGGACAACAATCAGTCGTGCACTGCACAAATCTGGCCTTTATGGAAGAGTGGCAAGAAGAAAGCCATTCTCTCAAAGATATCCATAAAAAGTCTTGTTTAAAGTTTGCCACAAGCCACCCCATAAAAAGTCTTGGGAGACACACCAAACATGTGGAAGAAGGTGCTCTGGTCAGATGAAACCAAAATCGAACTTTTTGGCCACAATGCAAAACGATATGTTTGGCGTAAAAGCAACACACAGGCAGCTCATCACCCTGAACACACCATCCCCATTGTCAAACATGGTGGTGGCAGCATCATGGTTTGGGCCTGCTTTTCTTCAGCAGGGACAGGGAAGATGGCTAAAATTGATGGGAAGATGGATGGAGCCAAATACAGGACCATTCTGGAAGAAAACCTGTTGGAGTCTGCGAAAGACCTGAGACTGGGACGGAGATTTATCTTCCAACAGGACAATGATCCAAAACATAAAGCGAAATCTACAATGGAATGGTTCACAAATAGACGTATCCAGGTGTTAGAATGGCCAAGTCAAAGTCCAGACCTGAATCCAATCGAGAATCTGTGGAAAGAGCTGAAAGACTGCTGTTCACAAACGCTCTCCATCCAACCTCACTGAGCTCGAGCTGTTTTGCAAGGAAGAATGGGCAAGAATTCCAGTCTCTCGATGTGCAAAACTGATAGAGACATACCCCAAGCGACTTGTAGCTGTAATTGCAGCAAAAGGTGGCGCTACAAAGTATTAGCGCAAGGGGGCCGAATGATATTGCACGCCCTACTTTTCAGTTTTTTAATTGTAAAAAAAGTTTAAATTATCCAATAAATTTCGTTCCACTTCACGATTGTGTCCCACTGGTTGTTGATTCTTGACAAAAAATTAAAATGTTATATCTTTATGTTTGAAGCCTGAAATGTGGCGAAATGAATACTTTCGCAAGGCACTGTTTATAACATTGGCTCAAAATCTGGTTGGTTTACAGGCTCTTTAATAATAGTCGTGTTTGCCTTTTCTGAATTTCATCTAGTCCCTCTACTCCTACTTTTGTAGCCTGGTCTTACCCATGGATCTATAATAATAACTGGATAGGGCATTTCTACCTTATAGCTGTACCACCCATGGGCACAGGGGGCGCCCATGGTACTGCAAACTAAATTCACGAGGGCTACCCAGAAAAAAGTCCCATAGAACTCAATGTAAACTAAAACAGCTCGACTTCAGCTGACAGAGAACCTACAGCTTTCAGAAATATTGGATTTTGTGGGGATTTTAGTGTCCTTGCCACACTGAACTTTTTTTCTTCTTAAATCCTTCGGTTTTCTTTAAATCCACACTTTACTGCCACAAACTCTGCTCCTTTCCTTCACGCTCTGACTCCGCTCTGCTGCTGCTCTGATGAGCAGCTCTGATTGGTCAGAGAGCACGTGCTCTCCTGCACGTGCACGAGAGCCACACGCGTGTATTTGGCGCAACGCATCATGGGAGCTCGTCCACTGCGCAGAACTGGGAGGACCAGACGATGCCCAAATATGGGCGAGTTCAGCTAATCTCCCGGTCTCTGTGAAGTCCCATGCGCTACTGAGCACAAGCCATTCATTTGAATAGGGCGCCATCTTGGATCACCGGGGCTTAGTCTTACCACACCATCGTACTCTTTTCATTTCATACTAATGTCTGGATTTGCTTCATTGACTCCGTTAACAGGTGGGAGGGGTTAACTCCTTTTGTAGATTGAAATGATTGGATCTGAGTTTATCGTGACCTGGCTGAGTGAGTGAGGCATTTAGCATTTAGCTTAGCTTTAGCAATTAGCAAAGTTTTAGCCATCTCCTTTGGCAGGCTAGTAATTTTGGACTTATAAGTAGTTTCCAGTCACTATACTTTACCACACTTTTAGGGATTTGTTTTATTTATTAATGATTATTTTCCTATTGGGCTTCATTGAGCTAGCGTGTTAGCATTGTCCATCTTTACACAGTCTATGGTTCTATTGTTAAACTCTTCAGTTGTACTTGTTTGGCATGTGTCACTGCTTTTCACTGTGTAAAAATGTACTGGAGTCGGATTATTTCATAGTTTTTGATTAATCTAATTTTTTTAACTAATAGTTGGCGATAAAAACACAATTTCCTGCTGTTTTCCTCTGCAATAAAACAGCACATTCACATCAGTGCTTTCAAGTGGCTGCTGTCCGTGTCTTAGATGTAATCACTCTGTTAGGTCACAAAAGCATTCTTCAGATCGGACACAGCCGTCGTTAAAAATGGACGAAGCTTGCTGCACCAGTGTCGCCGCGGAGACATAAAAAACCTTATGCATTTCAGATCTGGGTTGAGGTCACTACATTTTTACTACCCCATAAATATTTGGCATTTTTCGGTATAAATGGGCCCTTTCTCCTCTTTCACAGCGGCGCAAACAGCTGCACGAATCATCTTCAGCTTTATTGATCCTAATGTTGAACCGAAGACCAAGAATGTCTCTCACTTGTTTGCGCATATGATAGCTTGAAATAGGACAAATTTTAAAATATCTGTTTTCTTTTGAGCAAATTGGTTGGAACACCTCCGTCCAGGTAAACAAACAATTTACTTCTGTTATTTTTTTTCATTGAGATATGAGCCATGTCAGGATTGACCAATCAGATTCAAGGGGGAAACTCCAGCTTGCCTTAGCAACACGTCTGCTCCTGTTACCGCACAAAGCTAACATTGTCAGAACAAATGCCCATACGAGGAAAATAGCTCCAGCTAATGTTCAAACGTACATTTCATAACCCACTAAGGTTTAATTATTTCTCTAAATGTTGCTATCAACAACAGTTTTGGATGATAAAAATAAGAAATATCGGCCATTTTGATTTCCACCCTTGCAGGAAACGGTGTGGTCACGTGACTCCCATAGAATTATACGTATTACAAAAACATATGTAAGAGCTCCACAGTCTCAGAGCTGTGAGAGTGGGCTGCAACGCATTTCCGTATAAATTCAATTCAATTTATTTTTGTATAGCCCTAAATACCAACAAAAGTCATCTCGGAGGACTAAACTAATTTGTCAATTTGCCAACACAGATCAGAGAATCCAACTACTTGAACACAGGAAAGGAGCGGGATGACCACTGTCTATAAATGTTGATACATTTCCAGGATCATCACTGTCCTTAGACCCTCTTTCATCAGCAAAGAAGGATCCAAAAACCCAGTGGGAAAAAATTAGTGAAGCTGTAGATCCAGGACTGAGGCTGTAGATCCAGGACTGAGGCTGTAGATCCAGGACTGAGGCTGTAGATCCAGGCCTGAGGCTGTCGATCCAGGACTGAGGCTGTAGATCCAGGACTGAGGCTATAGATCCAGAACTGAGGCTATAGATCCAGGACTGAGGCTATAGATCCAGGCCTGAGGCTGTAGATCCAGGACTGAGGCTGTAGATCCAGGACTGAGGCTGTAGATCCAGGACTGAGGCTGTAGATCCAGGCCTGAGGCTGTCGATCCAGGACTGAGGCTGAAGATCCAGGCCTGAGGCTGTAGATCCAGGACTGAGGCTGTAGATCCAGGACTGAGGCTGTAGATCCAGGACTGAGGCTGAAGATCCAGTACTGAGGCTGAAGATCCAGGACTCAGGCTGTAGATCCAGGACTGAGGCTGTAGATCCAGGACTGAGGCTGTAGATCCAGGACTGAGGCTGTAGATCCAGGACTGAGGCTGTAGATCCAGGACTGAGGCTATAGATCCAGAACTGAGGCTATAGATCCAGGACTGAGGCTATAGATCCAGGACTCAGACTGTAGAACGAGGACCGAGGCGTTACATAACCCAGTGATGGCACCTGGTAAAAATGCATTCTGTCGACTGTAGGCGTAAAAGTGAGTTTGATTAAATCCTGCCAGTTTTAAGAGAATATTTGGTTTTTATGAGAATTCCTCCGTCTCACTTTTGTTGCTTTAAGAGCTTTTTGAGGTTGGTAAATGTACACGTGGTGCGGGTAATGAGCCGGCGGGAATGTACGGTCACAAGGGTTTGAGAATATGATACTAGTTTAAGTATTGGATACGTCATCATTTTATATTTAGGGTTTTAACATTGGGTAGGAGCTGAATTTGGTTTAACCTTAAAAAACAAAATCCTACTATTTCTTATCTGTTTCATTCTAATTGTAGGATTTTGGCAACTTTAAAAATACATTAATTTGAGGTCATTATTTTACTGTTTTAGGACTACTCAGTAATAATTCTTGAACACTTATTATAATCATAGTGCACTTAAAAACCATGTTCTGTTTTTTCAATCCAAAAAAGTGACATTACATTAAAATCATTTTGTATATTTGTAAAAAACTAATTTGATAAAGCTAAAAGTTTTAATTTTCTGATTCATTAAGAAATATGGACGCTTTAGGTTATAAATACATGTAAATACACAAATACTTTTTTTTTCTCACAATTTTATGTTATGTAATTATCTCCTGTAGGTTTGACCGCTGAGGATCCAGATTAGTGTCAACTATACATGCAGTAATTATCACTTGAAAACTAACTTGCCAACATTTTTGCCAACTAGTGAAGTAAGAAATATTTAGAGGGGATTATTCTATCTCTGCACTTGTACCATTTTTATACTGATATAACTATGATAAATATAAGTATTTTCTGGACCTAAACAGTATTAATATGGTGTTAACCGCCTGCTGCATCAAGACTTTAGTAAATCTCATAAACTTCAATGATCCGTGGACTGTGCGTCTGCTCGAGAGGCCGGTTGCCAGACGCACAGAGACTTTACTGGCAGAAAAACAACAAGTTTGGAGCGGAGCCAAACTGGGGCCATTATTTGTAATTAATGCGTTTCTTTTTAAACGGAGCAAAGTGTGCGAGCGCTGACGTGTGTGTAGCGTTCTCTGAGCTCATGGTGGCTCTTCAGCACTTAGTAATACCCTCTATAACTACAGCACGATTCAATATGGAAACATGAAGCATATTAGCAAGAGCGCGTCAAAACATCTGGGGATATTTCAGCGTCACCAGTAACAGATAAACAGTATTAATATGGTGTTACCAATAACTCTAGAATAAAATATAATCTTGCTTGCATAATAAAGAAGCAAGTATAGACATTTCTTGTATTTTAATAAAACCAGTGGGGGCGGATCCCGGCTAAAAAGTGGCACTGACATGCTTGCAATACCACCCCGGGCCGATGGGGGTGGACCCGGAATAAGAGTTAGCCAATGCTAAGATATAGCATTGGGTGACCTCTGGAAAACACCTTTACAGGATGGTCCAAAAGTTGGCTCTTGGCCCAAAGCTCCGTTCCACATCTGTGTCAATACTGAGGGGAGTGAAATTTGTTGGACCACTCTGGTTTAGTTGCCGTGAATTTTTGAAGGCACTCGTTCAAATGAATGGGACTCTCGCCGGCTGACGCATGCGCAGATGCTTTTTTTCACAATTTTCTTGTGGGCGGGACCACTCGCGGCCATTAGGCTCCAGTAGAGCACTATTTTTGGCCCATTAGTTTGAACGGCGGAAATAGGCGTGACTACGTCCGTTAATATATACAGTCTATGATTAAAACACAATAATCTTGCTTTGTCCCAGTGGCAAATTTTGTAGTCAACCATAGCAGTCAAAATGTGCTCAAATTAAGATAAAAAAGTTTTTTTTAACCTATTTTCCATAGCTTTTTGCAGTGTAACTGGAGTTTTTAAATAAGACTCATGCAACAATATTAATACATTCTTTTTCTTCTTCCCCATGACCAAATAGATAATAGGGGACTATTAGCAAACATAAAATACAGTTGTGTGTAGAAGCCAATTGACAACAACCCAATGAGACAACACAATAAAACAGTTGTGTTACCTGGTTGTGTGTGTGTTCTCCATTCTGCTCGTCGTCTGAGGGGGAGGAGCTGGCGTCCCGGATCTCGTGGTTGATTTGATCCAACTTCTTCATCAGAATTGTCATGGAGTCTCCGCCAGCGCCCTGAGAGAGACAAGGGTTTAAGTCCCAGGGTTTTAACTTGGAGAGAGAACGTCCAGCGACCTGCAGTGGGAGACTGGGACTGGGCCTCCACACACTAACACTCTGTCAGGCGCCTGGAGGAGGCAACACCTTCTCAAAGACAGTATTGTGGAGGATACAGTACAAGCAGGGACCGGACCAGGACCAGAGCAGGGACCGGACCAGGGACCAGACCAGGGACCGGACCAGGAACCAGAGCAGGGACCAGAGAAGGGACCGGAGTAGGGACCAGACCAGGGACCAGAACAGGGACTAGAGCAGGGACCAGAGAAGGGACCAGACCACAGACCGGAGCCGGGACCAGAGCAGGGACCGATGGAAGGACTCCTAAAGTGACATTAGGAAATATTGTACTCTGTAGCTTTAATGATATTTAAAAAAAAAAAAAAAAAAAGTGAAATACTATGCGAGCTACTGTGACATTTCCCTTGTGGATCAATAAATGTCTACGTCTTTCTTATTTACCAGTAGCACTTAGTAAGAGTGACTAAAAGTAGAAACGTTATACATTACTAACTTTTAATGGTAAATATAATGCTTTAAAACTGGTGCAAAACTAACTTTTTCTGAGTATGTTTCAGAATCCCAGCTGTTTGAATGGGAGCCGTCAAAAATATCTGCTCTGGGAGTTTCTCGTAGTGTCAGAATTCTGGGAGTTCTTCCAAAATTCTGGCGAGTCCGAGTGTTTTAAAGTTATGTAAGAAATCTGCTGCGATTGTTCCACTGCGACAGAACCACAACGAGACAGTCTTTTGGCGGCTACAGGAAGTGAACACACAGCTTTGTTTGGAGCCGATCCCTGAGTCCCAGAGGCCGATAACAAACATAGAGCCTTTTGACCACCACCCCCTCCCCACCCCCCTCCTCACCCACTCACAACAACCGTGCCCAAACCATGTGCATCACCAGTCGCCAATATCTACATTAACGGCCAGCGGTGCAGTCATTTCCTGTGCTGCCTCGCCCCCCTCCACACACACACACTGGACACTGAGGGGCTGTGTACTGGGAGCTATTTTTAACCCACAATTTGCAGGAAAGGCTTAAAGCTAAAGGAGAGGGAGAAATGTGGAAAACTATTTTAGACCAGATGGAGTATGGAGTAAGTCATATACAGGTGGATATGTAAGTACAGTATATATATTCACGCTGAGACTGGAGATTAGCGTTGGGAGTGACGTGACACAAAAGTAAGGTAATTATGGTAATGTATTGCTTTTTCAGTATAATCTAAGACATTCCCAAAAAAACCTGGGTCATATTTGACTTGGTGCAAAGATCAGTAAGATTACATTTTAACACGAAATTAAATAGATAAGATTCAGATTCATCAGATCAGATTCATTTATTTATCATTTATTGCCATGCGTTTTGTTTTTATACTTCGTATCCACCACAAGATCAGCAGAGTAGAAAAAATCTACACCAATAGAAGCCGCCTAGACGTGTTTTTCCTTTCTGGTAGAAGACGGCTGAGGTTGAAGCAGAAGCAGAACTACGTCGGACACCCTCAAACCTGTAACCTGGATCTAGACATTGCAGTAACAAGTAATACATAATATAATGAAGCTGAAGCGCAAATTAAAGAAGCTATACCCGATTTTTTTTCTAAGTAGTTCATAACAATGCTTTTTACTACATACAAGTTGTATCATAATACATCATTTAATTGAAAACTTGAGGTCATTGATTCCGCTGTGTATGAAATTCAGGCAGTGAAAAGTGCTGAGTAGAGTGAGTGGGACGCTCGTTCTCCTCCACTCACAGAACGAGCAGCGAACAGCCTGCGTCCTCTATAGCCTCTACAGCGCTGCTTAAAACCAGGGCTTCGACTTCAAAAATTCGAATATAATTCTAAAATAAAAAATATATACATATTTGGACAAATATTAGACAACCTTTATAATTCGAAATGTATTTAATGACTGCAAATAAAATAGTTAGCTCCCAAAGGTTTCACCGGGACGTGCTAGGCAGGTAACAGCTAAGCTAGCTAGTTGTTTCATGGTAACTTCCGGGTTTCTCGCAATCGCTTTTTGTCACATCAAAACAGTATTTTTGACATGAAAACATTAACAGCAAATTCTGAAATCGTCCGTGCATGTGTGTTAAGGATGTATATGTGTACTGTATTGTCCGATTAACGTTTAATGGTGTTGATTGATAGATATGTAGTTGTTTATTGAGCGTGGCTAGCTCCGCTAGCTTCTCTACACAGACAAGTGTGTAGTGACAAGCGCTGATAGCTTATTGTACTTGCGGAGTAATGGCAGTATTTTACACACCTGAATTACAAACAGAGGTTGCATTGGGGCTTCGGTCATTATTGGTTTGAGAGTTCTGTTATCAAGAAAAAATGATCGGAAGAATTGCATTCAAGTCAATGGAGTGCTGCTGCTGTGAGGAGCTGTATAATTCACTTCTTATTTAACAGACAGATCCTTCATGGTAAGTTTGGATACCTGCTCCTCTCAGGTCCATAAAATCACATGTGGTGTGCACCAGGGTTCCATTTTAGGTCCAGTCCTTTTTAACCTGTACATGCTCCCTCTTGGCGGTGTCGTCAGGAGACATGGAATTAACTTCCACAGTTATGCAGATGATACTCAGCTGTACATCTCCATGTCTCCTGATGACACCAGGCCAATGGATGCTCTTTTTAACTGCATTTTAGACCTGAAATCCTGGATGGCAGAAAACTTTCTCCAGCTTAACCAGGACAAAACTGAGGTTTTAGTCATCGGTCCTGAGGCCCAGAGAGAGAAACTTTTACCAAAACTCCAATCACACTCTTTTAATCCATCACCACATGTGAAAAACCTGGGCGTAATTTTTGACTCTGAGCTGACTTTTATTCCTCACATTAAGAATATAACAAAAATAGGTTTTTATCATTTGAAGAACATCGCCAGAGTCCGCCCCATTCTCTCTCGGGCCAACACGGAGACGCTGATGCATGCTTTTATAACCAGTCGCATTGACTACTGTAATGCCCTGCTCTCTGGTCTTCCCAAAAAGAACATTTCAGGTTTACAATTACTCCAAAACTCGGCCGCACGTGTCCTGACTAAGACCAGGGGGCGGGACCACATTACACCGGTTTTAAAATCGCTGCATTGGCTCCCCGTGTGCTTCAGGATTGATTTTAAGGTTCTCCTAATGGTTTTCAAATGTCTTAATGGTCTTGGGCTTTCTTATCTTTCAGAACTGCTTTTATCCTATGAACCCTCCCGGCCCCTGCGCTCCTCCGGCAGCAGACTCCTAACCATTCCAAAAGTCAGGACACACACTCACGGTGAGGCATCTTTCCAGCACTACGGCCCCCGTCTCTGGAACAGTCTGCCGGAGGAGCTCAGGGTCGCAGAGAACATTCATATTTTTAAAGCCAGGCTCAAGACACACCTTTTTAGATTAGCTTTTTGATTAGTATTTATTAGTCCATTTTTATATATTCTATTTATCCTTTATTATTTATTATATTGCTATTGCTATTGCTTTTATTCATGTTTTGTGTGATAGTTCCTTTCAGGCTCACATTTTAGTGTTTTACTTATTGTATTGTTTTTAAGTATCCCCAGTGTTTCCTCTGGAGGAGCCCTCTGCGCTGGGAGCGGTGGTTGGCTGTGGCTGTGGGGGTCGGACTCTTGGACCTGGTGGGGGCCCGGGGCCTCGGTTTTGGGTCCCCTCTGGGTCCTGTGTCGTCCCCTTTGGCTATGGGCGGCTCTCTGCTCCTGGCGCTGACGGCTCCTTGGATGGCGTTTCTTCAGCCGGTTGCATCTGAACCCTGCCAAGTCTCTTATCATCGTTTTATTGTTTTATCGGTGCGTGTGTGTGTGTGCGCGCGTGTGTGTGTGTGGGGGGGGGGGGGGGGGGGGGTGTTTGCTTGTGGTCTGGGGAGGGTCTGTTGGGCGGTCGGGGGGAGGGCATGGGCAGGATTGTTTTTTAGCCAAACTGTAAAGCACTTTGTGTTGCATCTGTTGTATGATAAAGGGCTTTATAAATAAACTTTGATTGATTGATTGATTGATAATAAATTATAATTAAATATTAGAATATATTCTAATGTTTTAAATTAATACATTTGAACGCGAAACTAGCAGTATTCTTTTACCTATATATTGTGTTAGCAGTGCGTTGCTTTAGTGCCATTTTATCAGTGATTGTTGTACAGCTTACAAGAAGTTGCGCTAATGTTAGCATACGTATCAGATCGCAAATAAAACTAGGTGGCTCCGTGGGATGAGAGCGTAGGGGAAATGAGAAGCCAGTGAGCGAGTTGGTGGGCGGTGCTAAACATTCAAACATTGCAGAAACGGGTATAGCGCCTTTAAGACTGAAAGACCGGCCACAGCTCTCACCCGTCCAGGGCCAGCCAATAACACAGCCCGGCCAGCCTCTTGCCAACCCACTGACAGCAAAGCGGGCAGTTTAAAAGGCAGCCACTTCCTGATAAACAGTGCTTCCTGAGGCTCTTAACATCCACCGCTTCCCCAAAATCCTGCCCTGGCTCCTGCCCTGGCTCCTGCCCTGGCTCCTGCTCCGCATACGCCCCATTCACACCATGCTTCTAGCCACTACCAGTGCTTGACCCCGGATCTGAGATCATCTAAAGCAGCAGATGATCTCCCCTCTTCAAGTGTCACTGCCGGGGTCAATGCGCCAAACAAATACATCTTTTTCATGCCTTGGTCTCTTTTTTTTTTTTCATTTTTGAAGTGACTTCCCCAACACTGCAGCTAATTAATGGAAAAAACTAGTAAACAAGGACCAGGAAGGAATTAGCACTGATATTACAGCAGAGTACAAAAATGTTAAGCTAAAATAGTGTATAAAATGTAAATATTTTGCAGCTAAAAGAGAGAGAGCGAGAGAGAGAGAGAGAGAGAGAGTGAGAAAGTGAAGGCCCTGAAGTACAGTTCATGTCTGAGTGCTCTTCAAAGTTCATGAAATGTTAATGTGTT